GCTCTGTGCTTGCAGGCTCTGTGCTTGCAGGCTCTGTGCTTGCAGGCTCTGTGCTTGCAGGCTCCGTGCTTGCAGGCTCAGTGCTTGCAGGTTCTGTGCTTGCAGGTTCTGTGGTGGCAGGTTCTGTGCTTGCAGGTTCTGTGGTGGCAGGTTCTGTGCTTGCTGGCTCTGTGCTTGCAGGCTCAGTTGTGGCAGGCTCAGTGGTGGCAGGTTCCGTGCTTGCAGGCTCCGTGCTTGCAGGCTCAGTGCTTGCGGGCTCTGTGCTTGCAGGTTCCGTTGTTGCAGGCTCTGTGCTTGCAGGCTCAGTGGTGGCAGGCTCAGTGGTGGCAGGCTCTGTGCTTGCGGGTTCCGTGCTAGATGGTTCCGTGCTTGCAGGCTCTGTGGTGCCAGGCGCTGTGCTTGCGGGCTCTGTGCTTGTAGGCTCCGTGCTTGCAGGCTCAGTGCTTGCGGGCTCTGTGCTTGCAGGCTCTGTGCTTGCAGGCTCTGTGCTTGCAGGCTCCGTGCTTGCTGGCTCTGTGCTTGCTGGCTCTGTGCTTGCTGGCTCTGTGCTTGCTGGCTCTGTGCTTGCAGGTTCCGTGCTTGCTGGCTCTGTGCTTGCTGGCTCAGTTGTGGCAGGCTCAGTGGTGGCAGGCTCCGTGCTTGCAGGCTCTGTGCTTGCAGGCTCCGTGCTTGCAGGCTCAGTGCTTGCAGGCTGCGTGCTTGCAGGCTCCGTGCTTGCGGGCTCTGTGCTTGCAGGTTCCGTTGTTGCAGGCTCTGTGCTTGCAGGCTCAGTGGTGGCAGGCTCTGTGGTTGCAGGCTCTGTGGTTGCAGGCTCCGTGCTTGCAGGCTCAGTGCTTGCGGGCTCAGTGCTTGCAGGCTCTGTGCTTGCGGGCTCTGTGCTTGCGGGCTCTGTGCTTGCGGGCTCAGTGCTTGCGGGCTCTGTGGTGGCGGGCTCAGTGCTTGCGGGCTCTGTGCTTGCAGGCTCTGTGCTTGCTGGCTCAGTGGTGGCAGGCTCTGTGGTGGCAGGCTCAGTGGTGGCAGGCTCAGTGCTTGCTGGCTCTGTGCTTGCGGGCTCTGTGCTTGCGGGCTCTGTGCTTGCGGGCTCAGTGCTTGCGGGCTCTGTGCTTGCAGGCTCTGTGCTTGCAGGCTCAGTACTTGCAGGCTCAGTACTTGCAGGCTCAGTACTTGCAGGCTCTGTGCTTGCGGGTTCAGTACTTGCGGGTTCAGTACTTGCGGGCTCTGTACTTGCGGGTTCAGTACTTGCAGGCTCTGTGCTTGCGGGCTCAGTGCTTGCAGGTTCCGTGCTTGCAGGTTCCGTGCTTGCAGGCTCTGTGCTTGCTGGCTCAGTGCTTGCAGGTTCTGTACTTGCAGGCTCAGTGGTGGCAGGCTCAGTGCTTGCGGGCTCTGTGCTTGCAGGCTCTGTACTTGCAGGCTCAGTGCTTGCAGGTTCCGTGCTTGATGGTGCCGTGCTTGCAGGCTCTGTGCTTGCAGGTTCTGTGCTTGCAGGTTCTGTGGTTGCTGGCGCTGTGCTTGCAGGCTCTGTGCTTGCGGGCTCCGTGCTTGCAGGCTCAGTGCTTGCAGGCTCAGTGCTTGCGGGCTCTGTGGTTGCAGGTTCCGTTGTTGCAGGCTCTGTGCTTGCGGGCTCTGTGCTTGCGGGCTCTGTGCTGGCGGGCTCAGTGGTGGCAGGCTCACTGGTGGCAGGCTCTGTGCTTGCAGGCTCTGTGCTTGCAGGCTCTGTGCTTGCAGGCTCTGTGGTGGCAGGCTCCGTGCTTGCTGGTTCTGTGCTTGCGGGCTCTGTGCTTGCAGGCTCTGTGCTTTCCGGCTCCGTGCTTGCAGGTTCCGTGCTTGCTGGCTCCGTGGTTGCAGGCTCCGTGCTTGCAGGCTCACTGCTTACGGGCTCCGTGCTCGCTGGGGCGGTGCTTCCAGGCTCAGTGCTTGCGGGCTCTGTGCTTGCGGGCTCTGTGCTTGCGGGCTCTGTGCTTGCAGGCTCTGTGCTTGCGGGCTCAGTACTTGCGGGCTCTGTGCTTGCAGGCTCTGTGCTCGCGGGCTCAGTGCTTGCGGGCTCAGTACTTGCAGGCTCTGTGCTTGCAGGCTCAGTGCTTGCGGGCTCTGTGCTTGCGGGCTCCGTGCTTGATGGTGCCGTGCTTGCTGGCGCAGTGCTTGCTGGCGCAGTGCTTGCTGGCTCAGTGCTTGCTGGGGCGGTGCTTGCGGGTTCAGTGGTGGCAGGCTCAGTGGTGGCTGGCTCAGTGGTGGCAGGCTCCGTGCTCGATGGTGCCGTGCTTGCGGGCTCAGTGCTTGCAGGCTCTGTGCTTGCGGGCTCAGTGCTTGCAGGCTCTGTGCTTGCGGGCTCCGTGCTTGATGGTGCCGTGCTTGCTGGCGCAGTGCTTGCGGGCTCAGTGCTTGCGGGCGCAGTGCTTGCGGGCTCGGTGCTTGATGGTTCCGTGGTTGCGGGCTCAGTGCTTGCGGGCCCAGTAGTTGCAGGCTCAGTAGTTGCAGGCTCAGTAGTTGATGGTTCCGTGCTGGATGGTTCCGTGCTTGACGGCTCTGTCGAGGCCGGCTGTGTAGTGGCAGGTTGCGTGCTGGATGGCTCTGTTGTGGGCTCCTGTGTGGTTGGTAGAGTGGTAGCTGGGGCAGTAGTTGCCGGCTGTGTTGACTGCGGTGAACTGGTCGTCGTGCTAGTGTAACATGCGCTGCAGCAGAATGCCGCGTAGCCCCTCTGGCACAGAAACCTCCGCAGAGCAGCTTCTAGATCATCCTTCGGGACTTCTGAATTTTCTTCGAGGAATTCAGTAATGTTTTCCAGGAGGCCTGGGCTGTCGCGAATCACAGGATATCTTGCGTCAAGACCAGGGAAAACCGCCAAGATCTGCTGCAGATCGACTTCTGTGTGGGGGGTGGACCTAGTGGCAGACATAGCGCTGGAACCCTGCGAAAAGAGGAGGGCTATCCCTGCAAAAGAACACCAACGATATTTCAAATTAGATCTTTGTTGGAATCCATCGCTGTAGGTTGAGTGAAACCAAACGTACCGAGGAAGATTGTCCCTGAGCATATCCGAGAGGAGGAAAGGATCGCCATTTTTGTAGACAAGGGGAAGGCAGACAACTATTAATGAAGGTTTTTCGGAATGCTTCACGGGGAGGCCCGTGATTTCAGGGCGGGGAGGCGGGAGCAAAGATGGCTCCGTGTGGTGATGCTAATGATGCTGCGTCATGTGTCCACAAGGCGGTCAACCAGACAACAAGGGGAAATAAATTACTTGTCTGGAAGTGGTAGCACGTCAGGGTTAGCGTGACACCAACACGTGAGATGGGGAATACGTGGGAGGGCGCGTGAAGCCGATGGACCGCCGTTCGACCAGAGCAGCTTCGGGGGAGTGGAGTAACTGACACCTTGAATCCCTGAAATTGCCACGACGTAATTTTAGGTACCAAGTGAGGATTGTTCCAAATATGTTCTTTATGACTGACTGTCAGCTTTGAACGCCCGTCACCTGTCATGACACTGCACCGCGACTCAGCTTCGACAGTTCTTGACATTTTCGTTCGTGTCCCAGATCCGTATGAACTGACACGTTTTCCACATGTAAGGACAGAAAGAATATGAGCTCTTCAAAAATGAAGAATCATGCTCATAGGTCAATGGAAATATAGCAATAATGCAAATCTGACGATACGATAATGAAAGGCGAGCTGGCGTGGCTTCAGGCGTATGACATCCGCCCACTATTGAAGCCAAAGCTGACGCTCAACGGATTTCTGCTTTAAAATCTATATTTGCCAAAATAAATCAGGAACTTGAATTGGCATTTGTCTAAGACAGAGTTGCTCCCCGAAGCTGCGCATGCTGAGCAGTAGATTCGTGTGGTGCGCAGGAGAAAGTGACCCCGAATGCAACTTAAACTGTTGTACTGGGTCCGTGAGTTGTGAAGTCCACACTTCACACCAAAGTGATGCCATTTGTTACTAAGTTTCCACCTGCGGGGGAGCCTTGAGATCTACTTGGAATGCGTCGTCGTGGATCAAGTGAAGCTATACGCCATACGTATCCACCCATATGTACTGCCCCCAAATGCAAAGCCCATGGCTCCTGTGTAGCTGCCTCAACAGGGGAAGAAAGCAATAGGAAGCAGCAGCGCCTGATTTTTACTGCTCACTCTGTAAAGTTCTCGTTGCTACGCATGGGGCGCAGAGCCAGATCTGTTACGTTCACGAACAACGAAAACTACGAAGACAAAGCGCCAGTTCCGCGCCAGCCATTAGGCTGTTTCCGCATAACAAATGGAAGAAAGTGGAGGAGTCAAGGCCAATAAAAAGTTGTCACTAGAGTGTAAATAGTGATACTTGTGTATGCACGTTTCAGCGAAGCAAGAATTGCTCATCGGCTGGGCGACGATGGGTAAATAACTGCAAAACATATATAAATGGTCATTGCCAAAGGAAAGCCTGCATTAGGAATTCAACTAAACTATCTACGTCAGCAAACGTGCTCAAATATCCCAGAGAGACTCGCACGGACCCGACTGCCTTTGAATGCATTCGTGGCCCATTTCCGATCCAGTCAAGTTGTGGAGTTGGGCGAATCAAGGCACCACTGGGGTCTGAACAGCTTTCTCTTGCGCGGGTTGCATTGACGATGTCTGCGCCTGTTAGTCCGAGGAAATCCTACGCATAAGAAAACGCGAAGCAGACAATTTGCGCATGGCCTGGTGTAGTTGCGAATATCTTTACAATTTGACTGCCGTGCCCTATAGAAGGAAGTGTCTTGAAAGGGCTTGAGTTACCTGGCATCCCCCAGGGTTGCAGAAGCACCCCGTGCGAAGATGAATGCCCGCAGAGGCTGTTTTGGCTTCCACCTGGACAGAGCAGAAACTTCGTCTTTTGGTTTCTTGTCAGCCCTGCATGATTATACAGTCCTTCCCAGATGCAGCATCCCGTTGCAAGGTGCCATGTTTCCTGTCTTACCTCGCTGAACGGAATGAATGAGCCATCGGGCTTGAGCAAGTTGAAATTGACGATTCCTCCTGCACGCCCAACTCCGCAACCGACAATGGAGCGGTTTCCTTAAAGTGGCATTGGCTGGATTCTACAGCGCCAAACATGCCAGGAGAAGCGTGTCTTCGTCCTTTGTCTGAATCGATGCGAGCCATGTTAAAGGGCTGGTTACGAAGTGCGGTACTGCAGCGGCAGGCTTCTGGTGTTTAGTTTATGCGCGAGGCTACAGTTTGGCTGGTTGTGAGAATCGTCTGTTTTACCTGAGGGTTCCTCAGATCGTGCCCAGTAGAGCAGCGCGAAGTTAGCTCCGTTGCGGTGTCGTAGAGCCTTTAGGGAGCGGTAGAGGTGGCGCGTGAGTGCCGCTACATGCCTCTCTATGCGCTCCATTCCAATTGCCTGAGAGCAGTCACTGCCGCATCTGTGCGGCCACGCTGGTGAATCAGTACACCTGAAAAGTGCGAGGCCGCTGTTCTCACGTCGTTGGCATGCAAGCACGTACAGCCGTGCAGATGAGCGCATGCACAAATACGCATGCAGACACGCATGCACGCATAAACCGCAGTTGCGTGCAAACATACAAGCAGGCAAGCATGTAGGTATGCATACAACGCACAAGCAATCATGCACGCAGTCCGCCTGCTGTTGCTGTGCGCCATAGGATTGAAGCAGTGCGCCTGACTGTTTTCTTGCCTGCAGAGCAGCGAATCCATACTTGATGGCGGCGATGGAGAGGAAATTCACCGTCCCGTCTTCAAGGCGAGCCGAAAGGTCTGTCTTTGGCTTCTGCCAGCGCGCGTCGCAGAGAGACCCCGAGACGCTGCCTCCACCCCAGTACACCTGATGACGCAAGCAGACAAAGAACGGCGAAAAAGACGTTTCTTTCAAAGAGTTGCGAGAAGGATATCACTCGGAAGAAGCCGCACAGAGACTTGACAGCACCACTGTTGTTGTACTGCAGCAGCAACGACGCGTGCTGCAGCAGCAGCAGACCTTCTTCAGCACGTCCGCTGCGCTGCGCTTGAGGATGAGCGCGCCTAAACCCGTGGGATATCCAAACATTTTATAAAAAGATAACGCCAAAAAGTCGGGGGCCCCCTCAGGGCCCCTCGCTCCTGAGAGCTGAATGCGCGAAGTCGGCGCAGCAGCGGCGGCGTCGAGGAGGACCAGCCAGCGGCAGTCGCTGGAAAGGCCGACCCTGCGGTGTACAAGCAGCCCCATGCAGCACTAGCCGCAGCAGTAGCAGTAGCATCAATAGAAACGATAGTTGCAGCAGCAATAGCGGCAGCAGTAGCAGCAGCAGAAGTAGTAGCAGCAACCATAGTAGTAACAGAAGTATACCAGCAGAGATAGCTGTAACACTAACAGCAGCAGTACAAATAACAACAACAGCAGCAGCAACAGTGGCTTTAAGGGACATGATTATAACGCCGCCTTTTGAGTGCATTTCGGTTGTTTGGGGTGTTTTGTTTATATTAGTGCAGTGGATGTTAAAATGAGGGTTTAAATGAATACAGCTCGGACTTGTGTATTCTTTCTATCCAGGAGAGGGGGAAGGAGGTGCCATTGAAGTTGTCCTTGAGAGGAAACCCAAAAAGACAGAAGGCGTCGGTGTTGGTTGCTGCAGGGGCTTCTGCCTGCTGCTGCTGCTGCTGCAGTTGTCTCTCCCTCTCGCGAAGCCTCTCTTCTACTTCTCTAGCGGACAACGCGCGCACCGACTTCACGCCAGCTGCAAACGCAAACTCCCTAAGCAATCCCCGCAGCAAAACAAACAACAACAATTCTACCAGTAATAAACCCATCAGCAAAGCAGACAAGCAGAACCACAACAGTAATAAAGAACCCAACAAAACAAACCAAAATCACCCCAACAGCAACAAGAACGCAGCCAAATAGACAGCAACAACCCCGGTAATAATATACCTCCGCAGCAACGCAGACAACAACAACCCAACCAGTAATAAACACCGCAAATTTAAACGCAAAATAACGCACCTCCGCACACACCGCAAAGCGTGCAGCAGCAGAACGCTAAGCAAGTTCCATTTCAGTCCAGCAAACGAACGAACACATAAAAAACAATAAATGCACAAACGAAGAAATAAATAAAGGTACGTAGATAAACATGTACACGCAGTTGCATACAGCTTCAAGTAGGAGACAGATACCGATGAAGACAGACCAACAGATGCTGCTGCTCTAGGCAGACAGAACGGCAGGTTGCATGCAAACACAATACAGCAGGCAAACATGATAAAAGAAACGAAATGAAGAAACAAAGAGAGAGAAAGAGAGAAAAGTAAACAAAAACAACATCTGCCGATATATTCCAACGTCCACATGAAGGGCTTGTTGAGTAGCAACAAGCAGAAGCATACAACTTGAAGTACATCTACATTAAAAAAGGAAACAGACAAACCGAAATGATTCTGCCTCGTAGCATGCAATAGATTGAGTGAATACTCAACAACTAGCACGCGTTACTGCTGAGGTTGCAGCTGCAGTTGCTGCTGCAGTAGCTGTTGCAGTTGCTGCAGTTGTTACTGTACGTGCTACTTCTTGAATGGAGTGCGGTAAAGCTTTAGCTAGTGAGTAGCATATATATATATATATATATATATATATATATAAATTACTGGGCTGCAGAGGAGAGGCGAGAGAAACCGAAAGCGAAAGAAAGGGAGAAAGAAAGGAAGTGCTGGACACACTACAGCGGCAACTGAGGGAGCAGCAGCTCGCTGGGTGTACGTGCAGCTGGGGATGCTAGTGAAGCGCTACGCACCTGACACCGAGGACGGAGTTGTGGTTAATACGGAGATAATAAAACCGAGAAGAAGCAGAGAAAGGGAAGTCTTCTCCCACTAGTTTTATTGCTGCTGTCGCTCCTAAACAACAAAACACAAAATACGCGCACGCAACGCACACTCTGTGCAGCAACTACAGCAGCAACAACAGAAGCAACAACAGAAGCAGCAAACGGAGAAGCGGCCACGACACCAGTGCCTGCAACGCCTTGCCGCAGACAGCCGGAAGCCGCAAAACAAGCGTCACCAGCAGAAGCAGCAGTAGCAACACCAGCAGCAGCAGCAACACCAGCAGCAGCATCAACAGCAGCAGCAGCGTGTTGTGTTGCACCCGAAGTGAAGACGACTGCAAATTCGTCTTCACTGGCGCCGAAAAACTGCAGAGTCAGCTCGCGAGCCTCTCGAGTCCTCTCATCTGCAAGCAGCAACAGCAGCAGCAAAACCAACCAACAGCAGCAGCAGCAAAACCAACAGCAGCAGCAGCAGCAGCAAAGGCAAAAACAGCAACAGAAGAGAAGAAGCATGGAGCAGAAACGCTTGCCGCCCCGCATGCAAGGGGCGCCCTTCGCCAAGACACAGGAGCGCCGGACTCCGTATTTGTGTTTAGGTGTATGTGTATGATTTTGTTCAGATGCATATATTTGGGTTTGTGTTTAGGTATATATATGGGTATTTTTGTATTTAGGTGTATGCGTGCCCCTTTTCAATGATGCGTTCAATGCACTATATATTTTTAATGCATTTTTTACCGATTCAGCATCTATTATATATATATATATATCCTGTGCATATCATCTATATATATGTATATCTGTATAGTATGGATGTGATATATATGCATATACATATATATGCATGCAAATGCACGCATATATATATATATATATGTACAGAAACATATTCACATATTTTGTACATATGTGCATGAATATATAAGTATAAATGCATATGTATAATGTACAGACGCCTATACGCGTATGCATTCATTTACTAAAAATATTAGATGCAAATATGAGTGTACGCATTTAAATAAAATTAGTGAGTTTGTTTGTCGCTGGCTTCGGCTTTTCTGTCTTTGTTTCGATGGGAGGCGCAAAGTGCTGCGGGTGTGAGCAGAGGAGAAAGAAAGCGAAAGAAGAAGAGAAAGGAACAGGAAAGAAATATGAGGACAAAACAAAACAAAATACAATATTAATGGATTTATACTCAAAGCAAACACTTGGATCAAGCTGCATAGGCAGCAAACACATTACTGCACTTGGAGACAAAACCAGCGGGCCCCATGCCATGCAAATTCAATATGCACAACACCGCAAACCTAAACACATAATATACTGGTGCAAACGTATTAACTATAAATATAGACGTATACGTATACATATATGTATATATATGTCTATATATATATGTGTACATATAAGCCAAAAATTTCAAAGGAACTTCACATTTGTTGGAAATGGATATGACTGTAGATGAGGTCTCACTTGAGACATAGTAAAAAAAAAATAAACATAAATACAAATATAATTTCGTGTACATATATGCATATATATATATATATATATATTCTGGTATATATGCATATATACAATGTTGTGTG